TAGGGGGTACTGTTTTACACGTGAGACATCGCTGAATACAAATATGTCTATTTTATTGCAGTAAAAGCTAACAGTATTATGACATTCACAGTTAAAATGTCATGTAGAATTAAAAAAATTATAACATTTCTTATTTTCTCCCATTTTTAAATATTTTATTCATATTCAGTTATGTTTCATAGCTAAATATTTGATGTTAAATGAAAGCCCTGTTTCCCTTGAATAAAATAATATATAGTAAATGTGGGTGCACTTAATATGAAAGAGGTGAATTACGGTTGAACAGACATATAGTCAAATTCCAGGTTATGTTTACGTTTTGTTTTGATCACAACGTGTAAATTTGGCTCAGTCATTAAGGTGTTAAATAAACAGAAAAAGTATAGGATCCTGACATTAGCTAATGTTTTGGTACAGGGATTGTTTCCTCTCACTACTGGAAACAAAACAGATTGCTGCTGGGCGCTTGATCTGTTAAAAAAAATTCTCCTGTCTTGTAAGCAGATCTTAAGTAATGAACAGTGGTTGAAGCGTTAAACCTTCTTGTTATATTTTAGTAGTTCATGTTTCATTTTATATTGTTTAACTTTTCCATTTTTCTGCTTTCTTCATCTCACGATGTTTGGTCTGATAGATCTGGCAGTGTGGGGGAAGTCTTGAAGTCCACCCATGTTCACATGTGGGTCATGTCTTTCCTAAACAAGCCCCATATTCCCGTAGTAAAGCATTGGCCAACAGTGTTCGAGCAGCAGAAGTATGGATGGATGAATTTAAAGATCTCTACTACCACCGCAACCCACATGCCCGATTGGTAAGTCTTGCACTAAACAAGGATCGGGATGTTATATATACAATACGTGCTTTCAAATTAAATATGACACTTTTCAGAATCGCAGTGTATAATGAGAGGTTCACGTTTGGCGGCCTACATACAAGTATCTGTCTGCCCCAGATTAGTGGGAGTGACACTCCTGAGCGGCAGCTGTCACCATTTTAATTCGTCACAATCCCAAGCTGAATCATTGATGGCAGCTGAAATATGTACTGTCAGGGATTTTAGCTCCTACTAACCTCTTGCACCACTGGTTCATGCCTACATACATACATACCTACATACATGCATAAATAAATAAGGGGCTGATTTATAGAAGCATGTTTGGAGAAGGTTTATTAATGCAGTGATGATACAGTACTAGATCATGTTAACATGGCTACGAAAGTTGTAGATGCTGCAAAAGTTTTACTCCGCAGGGGATTAGGAGGACACCACCCCACTATTTCAGCGATTGGGGAGAAGGCTTAGATAAAGAACCCCTTAACACTTGTGTTTGGGAGAGGAAAAGGGCAAAACGCTTCAGTTTACTCTGTTTATATCACGGAGTATCCTATATGTTTATTTTGCATGTTAACCACATTGATAGCTTGAATAGGCAAAGTTTGGGGAGCTGCCTTTATGCTTTCAAAAGGCTTGTGTGCAAAGTGTGTTTTGGTTGCAACTTTATTCAGCAATTAGTCTAAACTTGATGTCTAGGTTGAAAGTTGCCACCCTGCTACTGCTGAATTCTCCCTTGAACTCAACTAAATATACAGATTTTAGTACTGTGATTGGCACAGCACTGTTGCAACCCCTTCTCCAAAAGAAATCTTATGTAATTTAGTGCTTTTAATGGAGTATTCACAAGGAGGTGAAAAAACTTGTTTTGAGAACACACTGGAAAACCGTATTTATTGCAGTTTCACTTGACTCAATGCATCCCTATGAACAGCGTTAATTTAGTTTTTGCCATATTTTAGTCATTTGAATGACTAAAAAATGTTTTAGTTTTAGTCTATTTTTCGACGACTAAGTCTCCAGTAGATTTTAGTCCATGCAGTTCAGTTAAATCCTCTGTCTGTCTCTTTTACCTCTTTTCCAGCCCCTCTGTGGATCTTTGAGCCCCCCACCATCCCCTGTTGGTGTTTCTTTCCCAAGCCGCCATCTGTCTCTTTTACTCCTTCCCCAGCCCCTTTGTGTCTCTTTGTATCTCTCCGCCCCTCTAGGTGTTTCCGCCCCCAAGCCCATGTTTGTCTCTTTTGTCCTCTTAACTGTCTGTCTCTTTGCTTCCTCCCCCAGCCCCTCTGTGCCACTTTGACCCACCCCCCTCACCCCCGGAGCCTCTCTGTGTCTTTCTCTTCACAGCCCCTTTTGCGCATCTTTTCCCCCCTTTTTCTTCCCCAGCCCCTCTATTTCACTTTGTGTCCCCCCCAGCCCCTCCATGCATCTCATCTCCCCCAGCCCCCTCATGTGTCTTATTCCCCTAGTCCCCCTCTCATGTCTCATTTCCTTTGGCCAGCCCTCGTCTTCATTTCCTCCCAACCCCCCATGTGGCTCATATTCCCTCCCAACCCCCATGTGTGGCTCATTCTCCTCCCCCACCCCCCATGTGGCTCATTTCTCCTCCCAACCCCCATGTGGCTCATTCTTCCTCCAACCCCCCATGTGGCTCATTCCCTCCCAATCCCCCCCATGTGGCCTTACCCTCCCAACCCCCCATGTGGCTCTAGAACTAAGAAATCCAACACAAAAAGAAAGGTTGGAGTGTACTATTGGTGAGTATTAACAATATAAACCACTTCCTTAAATTGTGCACCCTAATTAGTGAAGGACTGAAAGCTGCAGGGTTGCTCACCTAGATGCATCTCGCTTGAATCATGTTTTTGACGATGGATGAAAGGTGTAAAGTTAAACTCTTCATTAAGTCCCCCTGGTGTCAGGATCTGAAATTTGTAAATCCATTTTGATTCCTTTCTCAAAAGTTGCAATTTTTAGGCAACCCTAATTTTTAAACTTGAATTCAACTTTAAATGTTTTTCCTTTTTATTATTTTTCTCCTAATTTATTTAATTGTTTTTGTGTGGAATATGCTCTATTCATTTAAGGGTTAATGTGTAATTTTTAACTATAAGAATAAAAGTTAAGTTTTATATTGTGTAACTTTGTTATAAGAACAATATAGCCCAGTGGTTCCCAAACTTTTTAGGTTCAAGGCGCCCTTAATATTTCAATATTTTTCCAAGGTGCCCTAGGTCCAAAAAATGTCTAGGCTGTATAAATATACTGGGCCCCTGTTCAGCAGAAATGTTTCCCTGTCAAGGGCGAATCTAGAACCTAATTTTGGGAGGGGCACTGGTAGATTATTTAAAGAAACAATCCAGGCACAATAACCACTACAGCACTATGTAGTGATTATAGTGCTAGGAGTGCTGTGGTGTCCTCCCAGGGTAGGTAGTCAAACTGTTTAAGAACAGTTTGACAAATTACCTGGGGTCTGCCAGGAAAGGGACTGTAGAAGGGGATAGGCACAGTAGTGTGTTTGTGTGAGGGGTTCAATGTATGTGTGAGGGGTGCAATGTTTGTGGGGTTACGTTTGTGTGTGAGGGGTGCAGTGTGTGTACGGGGGTGTACTGAATTTGTGAAGGATGTAGTGTGTGTGTGTGTGTGTGTGTGTGTGTGTGTGTGTGTGTTTGAAGGGTCCAGTGTGTGTGAGGGGAAACTGTGTGTGTATTGAGGGCTACAGTGTGTGTATTGAGGGGTACAGTGTGAGTGAGGGGTACAGTGTATGTGTGTATGGGGGCAGTGTGTGCATTGAGCAGGTGTGTGTGTGTGTGTGTGTATGTATATATATTATTGGGGAAAAATTTTTTTTCAACTCACCCCTCCCTTCTTACCTTTGCCTGGGAGGGGGGACAGTACTAATCCCTAGTGGTCCAGTGGAGAAGCCCTGGTGGTCCCAGTGGTGAGAGTGAACTCTAGCAGCTCCAGAGTTCACTCTGGTGAGATTTGGAGCGTTGCCATGGTAACAGCAATGCTCCGAGCATGCGAGAGGAGAACCCGCGGGAGCTGCAAGTTAGAGCTTCCCTGGCCCCTCTCTCCCTTCCCTGCCTGCTGCCAGCATTACAGTGCTAGCGGGCTGGAGAGTCGAGATCTCTGATCTCCCCTCCGGTCTTGCAGAGCTGGCACAGGAGAGTGAGGCACGTTTCCTGGTGCTATGATCATGGCACCAGGGAAATATTTTGCGGCGCCCTAGTAGTACACTCCAACTTTTCTTTTTGTGTGAAATTTCAATATAGTTTTAGTCATAGTCTTTTGACTAAAAAGCAATTTTAGTTTGTCGTATTTTAGTCATCTGAATTGTTTTAGTCTACTTTTAGTCGACTATATCTGCCAAAAAATGTTCTTTGACGAAATTAACACTGCCTATGAAGAGATGCTGATTCACATAGCGTGTTAACTTACCATGCATGTGCACCAGCGTAAGATCAGGATTGATAATCTCAGAGAATAGTGCATCATGTGAAGAAAGATGAGTGCATCTCTTTTTTTTTTTTTTGTGTATGTGTGTGTCAGTCATTAGGAATGCTATATTGTCCCTTTTGGCCTATTAAAGATAGTATTTTCCAAATAATATTAACTGGATTAATTATAGTAAGATTAAAGATTTAAGCAGTAAACCATAATGCTGATATAACAGTCAAAACATTTGTTTTCTGGATTGTAGGTATTATCCAAAATTACACATCATGGCCAAATTTCATATTCAAAATGTTAAAATATCAAAAATATATTGTATATAAAAACATTTCATTATATCAAAAACATCAGAATATTACAAATTTTTTATATTTTTCATAATATTAAATAATTTTAAAAGTTTATCTAAAAGTATTAAATCAAGGCCTATATTTATCAGTAACTATTATATTATATTGACCAAACCTATTATATTGTTGGTAGCCTGTCTTACTAGAGTTCATCTGCTCCCATTGTAGGAGCCCTATGGAGATGTAACAGAGAGAAGACAACTTCGAGACAATCTGAAATGTAAAGATTTTAAATGGTTCCTGGAGAATATTTACCCGGAAATTCATGTTCCTGAGGATGTTCCAGGCCAATTTGGAATGGTAGGTTGATATTCTATTGTTAATATCTTTCAGAATTTTTTTTTTTTATAACTGTTTATTTAAAACAGAAGTAAAGCATTACTGTGAGTCTGTGACCAGCTTTCATTTTAGAGAACCACCATTACAGACATTTAGATTCGGCCTGTCACATAAACAGTCCACATCAAAATAAATAAAAACTAACCTTCTGTGCTTTTTATTTTTTAACGAGAAGTATACCGTACATGAAGGTAAAACTCACTTGTTCTACCCAAAGTAATTTTGTGGTGGAGGTGGGTGATTTTCCTCATCCCTCATTCTAGTTAGTCTGTTGGATTTTGGTGTGCAATGCTACATGATGAATACAGACAGCTCTGCACTAGGTTGGCAAAATTGTTGTAATTGAGAAGAGAGGAAGTGACCTTCTGATCGAAAGGGGATAAATCAATGGATCAAAGTATGAAGAGGGGATGATATCTAATGTTAGAGAGTGAGAGAGAGGAAGTGGAATTGGTAGTGGAGGAAGAGGTACATCTAATGGGCAAATAGGAAAATGAATCTTATCAAGTCAGCAGTCCCTTCTTGAAGAGAGTTTGGATGTTTGATGGAAAAGAGGTTACCAGCTTACAGGGGATAGGTGAGTGGTGTGTGAATGGGCTGCAAGGAAGCAATTACTAGTTGGTTACATGTTAAAACAGCTTGTGCGTGAGCTGGTTATGTATGGGGAGCAGTGATTAGAGTGTGAGATTCTTGTAGAACAGTTGTAAAAGGGAGGTAAGAGGCTCAAAGGGAAAGCAGTCAGGAGTCTCATATCCTAAATTAGCCCGAGGGCCATGGTCACTGCTGGTCCTCTCCATTTCCATTATTTAATTTTTTTTCCCCCATAATTTCTATTTATTTTTTTTTAAAGTTTTTCACATACATAGCTGGATATACAAAATGTGTTACATTTGTAATTTTTGTCAGTTTCTCCAACCACACATACACTAGCTTCCACAGTTAGAATATTAAAAAATATTTAGCAATCTAAAGATTGTCAGGATTTAATCTTAATTTATGTTCCATGTATACATTAATAAGACAATAAGACATGGTCTGTGCAACCGGTTGTGTCTCCACTCACCCAGTACCATAAGTCTTAAAAAAATTATAATTAGACTTTGAATCCATCATGATATGAGCTTATCCAAGGTTCCCATATTTTTATGTATGTGCCATATCTTTGAAAAGCCGATAAGTAGCCCTTTTCCATCGTAATCAAATGTATTTGATTCAAGACCATTGTCAGAGGGATTTCTTGTTTTTCCTCCATATTCTAGATATAACTACCTTCATGGTCATAAAAATCTGAATAGTCAAAAATGTACTATGTTTGTTGATATTTTCTAGATTTAAGTGTAATATGGCTTTTACTGGGATGGTGAGATTTTTATCTTTTTAAAATATCTGAAATTATTTGAAAAACTTTGATCCATGTATTGTGGACTAAACTACAGGAAAACCAGATGCGTTTAAAAGTTCCTTCACGTAAACCACATCTCCAACATAATGAACAGTGATTAGAATCAATTTTATGCCATCTAGTGTGTTTTCATTCAGGTTACAGAGAGCAGACAGGAGGCATCAGGGCAGTTGAGGTGGTTGTTTGGGATGTTAAAGTCCACAAGTATTAGGGAAGGAATGCTAGAGGAGAGAAAGTGGGGTAGCCAGATAGAAAAGTGTTCAATGAATAGCCTAGGATGACTTGGGGGGAGAGGGCGATAGATGATGGCAATTCTTAAAGGAGTGGGCTTAAATATGCGGATAGTGTGAACTTCAAAGGAATTAGAATAGGGCAGTAGTAGGGAGGATAGGTTGAAAAGTACATTGAGGGGAGAGAAGGATGCCTACACTGCCGCCTTTGCAGTGGAGTCTGGGAGTGTGGGAGAATTGTAGTTCACCGAAACATAAAGAAGCTTTCAACTGCAAGGTTTTCAACAAGGAACTTTTTAACTCAGACTGTGGAAGACAGAGATGATAGGGTAAAAAAGGCCTGCAATAAAGCTATGCAATGGAGATGCACAGTGGAGGTGAAAATTGGTCAAGGAAGACCTTTGGTTATGTCTAAAAAAAAAAAAATAAGGGGAGGGGGGGTGTTTTCTGTATCCACTTTTTCTGAAATACCCCATATTTTCAGTTTTTTTTGTCTTGCTCTATCTTCTGCATTTGTGAGTTGAGCTTCTAGTGTATTCTTTTTTTTTTTTCTCCATATAGTTATATCTATTTCTCTGTTCATTCATTTCAAATTAGAGTGATTCAACATCATGTTAATTTTCTTTAATTCTTGTGTTCATTTTAGTCATTTCTTGTTTTAAATCACCAATATGGATTTTAAGTTCCTCTTTAATTTGATTTAGTTGAATTGTTTAATATAATCTTGCGATGCGACATGTATTTCTGGTGATTTTGGACTTGTAGTTTTTGAACTGTGTGGTTCAGGTTCATCAATATCATTATCTGTAATATTGGAGATATTTTCTTCCACCATTAACAGTCTAGGTTTGGGGTCTGTTGATTTGGGAGAGTGAAAACATTTAGGTAGTCTTCTTTTACTTTCAAGAGGGTTTTCCTTTTTTTTTTTTTTTCTCCTTTTTTGATATTGGTTTGTTTTCATCAGCTTTTTTGTTCATCATATTGTTGTTCACTTCAAAGTCTCCTATCTTCGTTCCTCTTTAAATCTGGGGGAGAATTTTGCTCCTTTGAAATCCAAAAAATTAAAGTTGGTATAATAATATAATTTCTTACCAGAATTACTTTCCCTTCTGTGTATTAGCTACTTTTTTTTTTTTTAAGCTATAGTTTCTCAGCAATTGTAGTTGTATTTTGCAAGAAAGAAAATATAAAGTTGTCTGTAGCTTTTCAAGTATATAGAGATTTATAACTTATCACTCCCTTAATATTCCTTCGGCATGAGGATTCTATAGTTTATAGACACTCTTTAAGTTATCTTTAGCTAATTTGCAATCAAACATTAAGCTTGAGAAAATAGTATGTTTTTAAATGCAGGAGTTATGCTGGATATTATTTTACACCATTTAACCACATATCATCCAGACTCCCTGCTAACTTACCTGTCTGGCAAGAGGCTCTAGGCATTGACCACGGCCTTCAGGCACCGACCACGGGTGTATGACCCCAGCAGGGCTTTATATAAGTAGTACTATTGGCTGCCCTTTAATGGTTGTTGAAACGCTGTACTTGCCACTTATGAGATTGTATGTATGGCAGAAAAGACTTTCTTGCTGCGGCGTCTGCTTCGGCATCGGCATGTCAGAGGGAGAAGGGAAGCACTGGCCCTTACTTGCGCGCAATCTGGACGCTTCGCCCACTCAGCGTCCTAAGTCATGACGCCACGACTGGCATCATAGCACCAGATAAATATTTTGCGGCGTCCCTGTGTGCCAGTCATACTGTTTAGGAACCGCTGCTATAGCCCCAATAGTACACTCTAGCCTTTCTTTTTTGTGTGAAACTTCAATATAGTTTTAGTGATAGTCTTTTGACTAAAAAGCCATTTTAGTTTTAGTCGACTTAATCTGGCGAAAATTTTTATTTGACGAAATAAACACTGCCTATGAGGAGATGCTGATTCACATAGTGTGTTAACTTACCAAGCATGTGCACCAGCCTAAGATCAGGATTGATGATCTCAGAGAATAGTGCTTCATGGGAAGAAAGATGAGTGCATCTCTTTTTTTTTTTTTTTAAATTTCATTTGTATATGTGTGTATCAGTCATTAGGAATGCATGTTTATATTCCTAATGCTATATTGTCCCTTTTGGCCTATTAAAGATAGTATGTATTTCCCAAATAATATTAATAAATGGATTCATTATGGTAAGATTAAAGATTTAAGCTGTAAGACATAATGCTGATATAACTGTCAAAACATTTTGTTTTCTGGCTTGTAGGTATTATCCAAAATAAACACATTATGGCAAAATTTTATATTTTTGAATAAACTTTTAAAAAAAAATTTCAAAAATGTTAAAATATCAAAAAGATATTCAGACAAAATGATCCAAATCCTCGGTCACTGTGCTGACACAATTTAGGCAAATTCAGTAGAATTAAGCTAATGTTTCAGCACAGTGACCGAGGATTTGGATCATTTTGTCTGAACGAATGTGTTGCTGCCTATGTACATCCACTCCCACACTTCCCTTTTCTCCAGCACACAGACGGGTGATGTGTGGTATTGTTTATGTTGTTATCCCCAACTAATAAATCTCAGTGGATCAGTAGACATAATATACTGAAAGTAGTGAAGAATTCAGTAACTAATGTCTTCATTTTAAATAAGAGATATTTTATTTTAAATGGAAAGCTGGTGCAGAAAATTCACAATTATTTGATGTTCCATAACACCCACTATTCAGAGCTGTTTCCTTTCTGTAGAATAGTGGAAATTCTGTTAAGCAAGTTGATGGCCTACACATGCATTGACGTGTATGCTGAGTACTAAATATCCACCACTTACCCCCTGTTTATAAAAATAATGTTCCATTTGTCTGGAGGAAGGTAAGACCTTACCCTAGAGCAGTGATGGAGAACCTTTTTGAGCCAGAGTGCTCAAAGTGCCAACACGGCAATTAAACCTGAATACTGAGGTCTAAGTTTAGAAAAAACAACTCGTACAGTTGTCCGAATTAATTAACAACTTTTGTTTTAAAAGAAGAACACAGAAACAGAGAGTTCAATGATACAAATTTTAAATCATGATATAAATAGATAAAATAAAGCTTATATTTGTTAGTATCTCCAACAAATGCAATACATACACACAGTCTGCTGAATACACACACAGATTGCTGAGTACACACACACACACACACAGACTGCTGAGTAAACACACACACACAGACTGCTGAGTAAACACACACAGACTGCTGAGTACACACACACACAGACACAGACTGCTGAGTAAACACACACACAGACACAGACTGCACAGTGTACACACACACAGACTGCAGAGTGTACACACACACAGACTGCTGAGTGTACACACACACACAGACTGACTGCTGAGTGTACACACACACACAGACTGACTGCTGAGTGTACACACACACACACAGACTGCTGAGTGTACACACACACACACAGACTGCTGAGTGTACACACACACACACAGACTGCTGAGTGTACACACACACACACTGCTGAGTGTACACACACACACACTGTGAGTGTACACGCACACGCACACAGACTGTTGAGTGTACACGCACACGCACACAGACTGCATTGAGGGGTGCAGTGTATGTGTTTGTGTGTGGGGTGCTGTGTGTGTGTGGTACTGTGTGTGTGTGGGGGGTGCTGTGTGTCCTGGGTAGGCCCAAGGCCTGCAGTAGAGATGCTGTGTCCCGGAGGTCTTGGATCTGGTGGGAGTCCAGCCCATGTTGGACCGTGAGCGTGCGGGAGGGTTGCAAGCGGTAGCCGACATTTTGCTGTTGGAGCAGAGAGGTGAGTGATCTTCGCCAAGCTAATGTGTCACTCGTCAGGTCTTTGAAGAAAGTCAGCGTCTGCTTACGTGCGGCAATTCAGCCTCTGGGATTGCTTCTGGCACCCCTCTGTCATGCATTCATCCGCACATAAACATTTAGTTAATGGCATTTACTGACAGGAAAAGTTGTCCTGAGCAACATTACCTTCCTGACAGGAAAAGTTGTACCAAGCAGCGATCATGCACATGGAAACCTGGTAATTACTTTTGGGATCAAAGGCCAATCATGGTCAATCAAATCCACAGGAGGATTTGTGCAGACTTGGTAATTGCCTTTGAGGTCAAAGGCTGGTTACAGCCAATCGGATCCACAGGAGGGGTATTTAAACCCAATTTTCCTTTTGCTCATTTCCCTGTCGGGGTTTCATGACTATGGTTATCCGAGAGTGCGTTCCTGATCTTGATTTTCTGGTATTTGGCTTTGTTTTGACTTCCCTGATATCTGGTATCCTTGACTTTTGGCTTTCCCTCATCTTTGTGTCTGATTCTGTGTCCCTGACCTTGGCAAGTATTTTGACTATTATTGGAGACGTTATGTCCGGTTATACGTTATCCTTAGTCCTAGGTGTGACCCAGTACTGCGTGCTGAATAACCTTGTAATCCTATTCTTGAGGTTCTGGTTCGGGAGTTTGGAGTGCTATTTTGTATGCAGTTTGGGAGTTTGGAGCATTCCCTTGTATTCAGTTCAGGAGTTTGGTGTTCTGCAGTAGCTGTGCCTGCATCTCTGGAAGGGGAAGATCTACTAAACGGCGGTTCACTCCTTTATGCAGGGAGTGCCGTTACAATTGGTGGCAAGCGGCGGGATCGTTCCCACAGCCAGAAGGACAGCTACAGGAGACACCATTCCGTGGATTTTACAATTTGAGGGCAACGCATGTCCCAGTACAGCGACCCTGACCGCACCGGGATGGAACCAGCAGTGGAGTACGATGAGGGTGTCATGGATGGCCGAGATGAAGTCCGCAAAGGCATCTGGTACCAGGCACTGGGTATTGTGGAATACCAGCGGGACGAGAGATTCCTCAAGGAAGAGCAGTGGTTGCAGAAGCGAGTAGCCCTGCGGATTCCCTTCCTGGGAGAGCATCCCCGGGAGGAATGGATGAAGAAATTGGAACACCTAGTATGTCAGGAGATGTGGTTGGAAGATGCCTACCAGGTTCTCTAGTGGTATGGGGCACAGTACCTGCCCCGGACAGCCGAACATGACAAGCCAGAGGGAGAGGAGTTTGATGGTCCTGGCTTGTTATGGGAGACTTTTTCAGAGCCTGAGTTTGGGAGCCCTACACAAGCCCGGTTCCGTGATCTCTTTGAGTGGAGGGAGAGCAGGTATGACTGGGACGACACTTACAAGATTGAGCAAGACCTAGTCCACCTGGTGACCCGGGAGATCGAGCTGGAACAGGGCTACCAGCAGCTGTTCCACTCCAGTGAGAAGGCTCAGCAGGAGAGCAGAGTGACAGACCCAGAGCCAGACCCATTCAGCTGGGACGAGATAGTGGAGTTTTGCTGGGAGGAAGAACAGGTGGCTCGTGGAGATGGGACCGAGGTCTTTCCACCTGTCCTGCAGGGAATTGGGAGCCCAGTCTCCATTCCCCAGCGGCAGGCTGAGTTACAGGCGGCAGAGACAGTTGGTCCTGTCCCCCAGCGGCAGAGTGTCCTACAGGGAATAGAGTGCCGTTACATCTATTTTTTTACAAAATTTGATTTCAAACAGTATAGTGGTGCAAATAATATTCCTAAATCCATTTCACCTTATAGGGCTAAAAACGGTTAATGTCCAGTGAATTATTGTGCAAGCTAACTGTGTAAACCTTTACAATCAGAGTTTAAAGGAGCACTATAGTGCCAGGAAAACAAACTCATTTTTATGGCACTATAGGGTTATTAGGTACCCTCCCCTTCCTTATGGCCCCCCCACCCGCTTGGCTGTAGGGGTTAAAACCCCTTCAACCACTTACCATAATCCAGTGCCTGGCTCCCACGGCGCTGGTGACCTCTCCTTCCCCTGCCGACGTCAGCTCCAAATGCGCATGTGCGCGCCTGCTCGCCTTCAGACAGCCCATAGGAAAGCACTACTCAGTGGTCCTTTAAGGATGAAAGAGTTGAGAACAGTTTTGATATCCTTGAATTGTGCCTGATCTGTTCCCTAAGGCTCGCAATAGCTGCTGTGTATATCCAAGTAATGTAGTTATAGCTGCACATGTAGCTCGAACTACAGGTATTTGCATGTCTTTCAATAAGTAATTTGAGTTGTCTGACCCATGGAGCCGTTACCCAAAGTGAAATCTAATGCAGGATGTGTTGATAATATTTATGTGAACATAATGTCACAGGACAGACGGTAATTTTATATTCTAAAGTATACTAGATGCATACTTGCAAAAACAGAATAGTCAAGGATATAATCTTTCAATGTAGGGTAATAACTGCTTGATCCAAGGATAAATCTGACTGCCATTCTGGGGTCAAGAAGGATTTTTTTTTTTCAAGCTTGTTGCAAAATTGGAAGTGCTTTAAACTGGGTTTTTTGCCTTCTTTTGGATCAACAGCAAAAAACAAATGTGAGGTAGGCTGAACTTGATGGACGCAAGTAGCCATAAAATGTTTTCAGAGTTAGTTTGCAGGAATTCTCCCTTTAACTTACTGGTTACATGTTGCACTGCCCCACATTTTAGTAGGAAATGGTGGTCTACATAAGTAGTATACTGCAGGTTTAATCAGTATGTTTGTCACCACAAAATATATAAACAATCCTGTTTTACAGCTGAAGAACAAAGGAATGATCAATTACTGCTTTGACTACAATCCTCCAAATGAACATGATGTCACAGGACAGAAGGTCATTTTATATCCCTGTCATGGAATGGGTCAAAATCAGGTAATACATTTCCTCTTTATATGAGCACAGGACTTGAATGTCAATTTATGAGCAATCCCATGGTTAAAAAAAATAAAAAAAAAATAAAAAATATATATATATATAATTTGTTTAACCCCTTAAGACCGCAGGGAGTTCTATGCCGTCCTTATTTAGATGGCTCTAAACGCCGCAGGGCGGCATAGAACGCCCTGCGATCTTTTGTACTTACCCGGTCACCGGCGATCGCGGTATGGGGACTTACCTGGGAGCCCAGGGAGTCCCCCTCCGTCCTCTTAGGCCCCCCTGGGCCATGTGATCGCGAGGTCCTTGCAATCACATGGACAGGGTCTGGCTGGAAATAAAATTTAAAAGATGTTAAAACAGTGTAAAATTAAATAATATATACTTAGATAGATAGATAGATATAGATATATATATATATATATATATATATATATATATATATATATATATATACACACACACACTGTCTATAAAATACACGTGCAATGATATTGATTATATATATATATATATATATATATATATATATATATAAAAATAAATATATAAATACGTTAAAAAATAAAATTAAAAAAATAAATAGATAAATATACATGCGTAAATTCGTTCTAACTGTATTTTAAAATTAATATATATTGATATCAAAATACATGTAGAACGAAATAATATATATATATATATATGTGTATGTATATATATATATATATATATATATATATATATATATATATATATATATATATATATATATATATATATATATATATATATATATAGAGTAGAGTATATGTAATAATTTTACATAATTAGGTCATTTTATTAATTACAATTTGCAAGAACTGCCTGTCAACCCAGGCCGAAAGTTCAGGGAATTTAATTTTCTAGCACTATGTTTAACCCTGTAACTTTCCAAGACACCATAAAACCTGTACATGTGGGGTACTGTTTTACTCGGAAGACTTCGCTGAACACAAATATTAGTGTTTCAAAACAGTAAAATGTGTTACGACGACGATATCATCAGTGACAGTGACATTTTTTGCATTTTTCACACACAAATGGCACTTACACTGACGATATAATTGTTGTGATACATTTTACTGTTTTGAAACACTAATATTTGTGTTCAGCGAAGTCTCCCAAGTATAACAGTACCCCTCATGTACAGGTTTTATGGTGTTTTCAAAAGTTACAGAGTCAAATATAAGGCTTGCGCAGGTTTTTCACATTAAAATTCGCCAGGTTGCCTTTGAGACCGTACGGTAGCCCAGGAATGAAAACTACCCCCATGATAGCATACCATTTACCATTTGCAATAATAGACAACCCAGGGTATTGCAAATGGGGTATGTTCAGTCTTTTTTAGTAGCCACTTCGTCACAAACACTGGCCAAAATTCGTTCAAATTAGTTTTTTTTCATTTTCAAATATTAACAGTGTTTGTGACCAAGTGGCTACTAAAAAAGACTGGACATACTCCATTTGCAATACCTTGGGTTGTCTACTTTTGCAAATGGTATGCCATCATGGGGGTAGTTCTCATTCCTGGGCTACCATATGGTCTCAAAGGCAACATAACCAATCTGGCGAATTTCAATGTGAAAAAACCAGAAAATGTAACATGCTATATTTGACCCTGTAACTTCCCAAAACACCATAAAACCTGTACATAGGGGGTACTGTTTTACACGTGAGACATCGCTGAATACAAGTATGTGTATAGTACTGCAGTAAAAGTAAACAGTATTTTGACATTCACAGTTAAAATGTCATGTAGAACTAAAAATTTGTAAAAAATTATTTTCTCCCATTTTTTTTAATATTTTTTTCATATTAAATTATGTTCCATACCTAAATATTTGATGGTAAATGAAAGCCCTGTTTCCCCTGAATAAAATGATATATAATAAGTGTGGGTGCATTTAACCCCTTAACGCCGTTACGGCGTTCTATGCCGTCGCGGCTTTAAAGCCGTTGCGGCGGCATAGAACGCCCTAACTACTTAAGCCCTCAGGACCTCAGCGGTACTTACCTCCTGCTGCTGCCTGGCAGCCCTCCTCCGGCACGTGAGGCCCCCGGGGGCCATGTGATCGCTCTCAAAGAGCGATCACATGGCCCCCTATAGCTGGCTGTGGATCTGCCAGCAGGGGGGCTGTCTGAAATATCTGGTGGAAAGTGTAAAAAATAAAAATAAAAAAAAATAAAAAAATTAGACATGTGTAAAAATAAATTAAAAGTATTTATATATATCTCTATATATATATATATATATATATATATATATCTCTATCTATATATCTATCTCTATCTATATATCTATCTATATATATCTCATCATACAAAGTGTATTTTAATACTATTAGTATATATCTTAATATTAAAATACACTTAGAATGACGTTTTTTATATATATATATATATATATATATATATATTTATATATATACATATATACATATACACACACACACACGTATAATTACAATAATAAATAAAATAATAAAATAAATTAAAATATTGAAACAAAATTTAATATAAATTATATATTCATATGTAATTTCATTCTAACTGTATTTTGTTATTAATATATATATATTGGTAACAAAATACTTAGAATGACATTCTATATATATCTATCAATATATATAATACAAATAACTGCAATATATAGATAAATACATATAATTACATTAGTATACACGTAGAATTTAAATACCTATAAATGCATATATATTAAAATTCTACGTGTATAGTTAAGTAATCTTTTAACATAATTATGTGATTTCATTAATTAAAATTTGATTGACATGCCTGACAACACAGGGAGAAAGTGCATTTTTTACAAACAAACGGCCCTTTTATGGACTATATTATTGTTGTAATATGTTTTACTGTTTTGAAACACTAATATTTGTGTTTAGTGAAGTCTCCCGAGAATAACAGTACCCCCCATGTACAGGTTTTATGGTGTTTTGGAAAGTTAGAGAGTCACATATAAGGCTTGCATTTTTATTTTTTTGACATTGAAATTTGCCAGATTGGTTATGTTGCCTTTGAGACCGTATGGTAGCCCAGGAATAAGAATTACCCCCATGATGGCATACCATTTGCAAAAGTAGACTACCCAAGGTATTGCAAATGGGGTATGTCCAGTCATTTTTAGTAGCCACTTAGTCACAAACACTGGCTAACTTTGGCCAATGTTTGTAACTAAGTGGCTACTGAAAAAGACTAAACATTCCCCACTTTCAATACCTTGACTTGTCTACTTTTTCAAATGGTATGCCATTATGGGGGGTAATTCTCATTTCTGGGCTACCACACCGTCTCAAAGGTAACATTACTAATCTGGCAAATTTCAATCTGAAAATGGAATGTTCTATATTTGACCCTGTAACTTTCCAAAACACCATAAAACCTGTTAATGGGGGGTACTGTTGTACTCGTGAGACATCGCTGATTAAAAATGTGCCTTTTTTGCAGTAAAACCTAACAGTATTATGACATTTACAGCTAAAATGTGAGGCAGCACTACAAATTACAAATGTAAAATTTCACAGTTTTTTTAAATTTTATTCATAATACATTATGTTTGATATATAAATATTTGATAAAAAATGAAAGCCCTGTTTCTCCTGAACAAAATGATATATAATAAGTGTGGGTGCACATAATACAAAAGAGGTGAATTACGGTTGAACAGACATATAGCGCAAATTCCAGTTTTTGTTTGTTTTGTTTTGATCAGAACGTGTACTATTGACTCCGTCCTGAAGGGGTCAGAACAGCACTTTTTGTACATAACCCCCTCAGAGCTATGTCCAAACTGCCCCATACAGAATGGGGAAAAAACATTTAGTGCAATACTGTTTAAACACTTTTATACAGTCCTCTGAAGTTCTTATTACCCTCAGAGCCAGGATTTTAAGGCTCTGAATAAGGTGAGCAATATACCTCCATGATTTTAATAAAAGTACTACACATTGGTTGCCTCTTTTCTTTTCACTGAGAGTGTTTGATTAGACCGCAGGAGTTGTGAGATGCTACCCTTAAAGCATGGGAACGTCATTTACTGAGCCAATTCATATAGGCTTTGGTACATGGTACATGCAGGGCCCCTCTATAAAATATTATTTTAAGTATGCCGCCGGGCATTTGGAATCACTTACATTGTTGCTCACTAGCGCCCGGTAGGACACAGGTCCGGCGGCATCCACCAAATACCGCTCAGCCAGGCCCCCTTCTCCCAGACATGCACTGCGGCAGCGCGCGGGCGCTTTAATTCTTCGCTCCTGCCCCTTCCCTTGTATGTGTGGAGAAGTGGGCGGGAGCATAACAGGAAATGTGCAGAGAAAGGATGTGATGGGCAGCCAGGCGCAGGCAATAAACAGCAATGAAGTTAAGGTATGTCAGAGAATGTGGGTTAGTCTGCTTCAGTCAGTATGCTTATGTATGTCAGTCTGTATGGTCAGTGTGTCTGTATGGGTCATTGTGTGTCTGCATGGGTCGATGTGTGTGCCTCCATGGGTCAGTGGGTCTATGTGTGTGTGTCTGCATGAATCAGCGTGTATACGAGTCTGTGTGTGTCAGTCTACATGGGTTAGTGCGTGTGTGTCAGTTTGCATGGTTAGTGTGTGTCTACTTGAGTCATCATGTATGTTAGTCTGCATGATTCAGTGAAGCAAATGAGGCAGCAAATTTGTTTTCGCCTAGGGCGCCAAAAATGCTTGCACTGGCCCTGGGTACATGTGAGTGGTCTGACTTCTTTCTACTTATGTTTTGTATGCACGTAGCTATCATCTGCACTCTATATTTCTCAGCTTTTATTTTTGGGTTTGAGATATACTTCTACAAGGGTAAGCAAACACCATGTTTAATTCAGTGTTCCACCAAGGGTATAAGGTTCCTTGACTTATACCATTTTACATATTTTCTTGTACATGCTGTGTGGGAGGGAGGGTTTTTTCCACAATAATGTTTTGTTTGAGCTGCTGTTTGGATTGTTCACACTAAGTGCTTTTGATCTTTACACACTCCCTCCATTTGGAGTTTTACTATTAAAATCTGATTTGGCATTGCAGGCTTTGAATTTCTGCAGAATTAAAGCTGCCGGGATACTAAAATCCAGGCCCAAATTCTTAAAATTATGCCTTGGATTTTAAAAATATCATAGCTATTTGCTAATGCTGCCAATGGGCCTAGCAAATAGTTAAAAAAAATAAGCACATAAGGGACCATTGTCCACAAGTCCCCCCCAAAAACTTAGGACCAACCAGAATACAGGTCCCTAGCCACCCATCCGCAGTACAAAAATTAATTCCTACCACCTCACTCTAATAATAGTAATACATCTAATACCTGTAAATTTACCTTCATAAGTCTTTTCTTCAGCCCCACAAATGTCCAAGAAAAAAAAACCCATAATAAACCGTCATTACTATTAAAAAAACAAAAAAACTGACGAACAAATAAAACTAGGCAAGTCTTGTCTCTTATGAGGCTGTTTAGTAGATATCCCATTACACACAGCATGATGAGTGGGGGCATAAGGAAGGTGTAAAACCTCCTTTATACTAATATGTATGTATACACTTTTTTTTTTTAACTATTTAACACATTTTAATGTGGCTGCAAATGTAATGTCTCATGTCTCATTTTAATGTGGCTGCACATGTTTGCAATTGTCTCATTTATTTTTAAATCTCCCCCTTTTATAATATTGTAAAGTGTTGCAGAATAAATTGGCGCTATATAAATACCAATAATAGTGATCATCCTAGGATCTGCTTTATACTACAAATCATATCTCAGGTTTGTTAGGTGCTCGAGAGGTTTCTACCTATAATTGCATCCTAATACCTACTGAAACAAGTTATGTAGATTTTAGTGTCTGTTCCCTTGTGGTATTTTTTGCCACTTGTTACCCTTATTTTATTGCTGACCTTGCCTTTGCCTACATATTACCTAGGTCGATTGATCAGCAATCTATAGTCAATATGATGGTAATGTTTTGACATAGCTTCTTATGTACCTTGCCTACTCTAGATGTCATGGTTTTTACTTTCCTTCTTTGGCTAATCATATTTAATTAGTCCTTGATGCTAGCATTTGTCATTAACAAGGTCTTTTATTTTCCCATCATTGCATTATCCTACTATTCCAGTGATCTTCTCATTTCAGATGATTTTAGGCTGTGCCTTTTCTTCCATTCAGGTATAGGTCAGTTGTAGCCATGACTATAGCATGGGAAGTGGGATATTGCTATTTGGTGGTCCTTTTTTTTTCCCATTTTAAATAAACATTTACTGTCTTGTTTTTCAGTTCTTTGAATACACATCATATAATGAAATACGCTACAACACCCGACAGCCTGAAGGCTGTGTAACAGCAGATGCAAATACAGACCATCTAACAATGTATTTATGTCGGGAAAATGGTCAAAAAGTTCCTGAAAATCAGGAGTTTATTTTCAGAAAGGTACCATTTTTTTCACCACATCTAAAATGAATATCATGTTATCGTGAAGCGTTAAAACTAGGCTTAAAGGACCACTCTAGGCACCCAGACCACTTCAGCTTAATGAAGTGGTCTGGGTGCCAGGTCCAGCTAGGGTTAATCCATTTTTTCATAAACATAGCAGTATTAGAGAAACTGCTATGTTTATAAATGGGTTAAGCCTTCCCCTATTTCCTCTAGTGGCTGTCTCATTGACAGCCACTAGACGCGCTTGCGTGCTTCTCACTGTGATTTTCACAATGAGAGCACACCAGCGTCCATAGGAAAGCATTATGAATGCTTTCCTATGTGACCGGCTGAATGCGCGCGCAGCTCTTGCCGCACGTTCGCATTCAGCCGCATGGGAGGTGAAGAGGAGGATCGGAGATGGAGAGCTCCCTGCCCAGAGCCGGGCAGGAGGGGGACCCTGAGGGTGGGGGCACCCTCAGGGCACTATAGTGCCAGGAAAACAAGTGTTTTTTAGGTTTAAAGCGATCAGCCTTAGAATGATTACATTTGGGAATAATGAAAGAGTTTGTTTAGGTTTTGGTAGGAGTTACATTTATTGTCAGACAAAAGGTTGTTTAGCACATGTGGAGGTTGAATGGTTGTTTGCAAAGTACTCACTTTGTTTTCAGTCATGGCACCCCCCTATTATTTATTGTTGAGCTGCTAGACATTAAAATACCAGTATAATGGTGCAATGTTTGGAAGTTGCAGATTTCCATCATTTCTCAAACATCATAAAATAAAACATAATAAAATGACAAACATAGCAATGCCTTTCCCATTAGTATATAAAAGAGTATAATGTAGATGTCAGGGATGTGTAATTTATATTGTCTGATGCCCAGTACATGCAGTTCTGGGTGCCAGGCAGGCAATAGGACTGCTACAAGGAGGACAGTGTCTGTGGCATGGCATGTGAGCATAATAATGTTAGTGCCTGCAGACCTCAGTAAACTTCAAATCCCTGCATTGTGCTCTCTGCTGAGTTCAAGCGCATTGCAGCCTCCAGCATGTACTCTGTGACTCGGTGAGTGCATGTGCTCCACGTATTGAAGTCTGATTTGGCTTAAGGGTTGGTGAGAGGAGGAGATCCAGCACACACCACATACAACCTGCACGCACGCACAACCAGTACACACTAGACATGCACAGCATGCAACCATCACACACCAGACACAACCAGACCATAGAGCCTGCATAAACATAGGAACAGCACACTTCCTCCTGTACTATATGCAAGCCTGTTCCCAGTAATCTCTTAAAGGACCACTATAGGCACCCAGACCACTTCAGCTCAATGAAGTGGTCTGTGTGCCAGGTCCCTCTAGTTTTAACCCTGCAGCTGAAAATATAGCAGTTTCAGAGAAACTATGTTTCACTAAAGGTTAATCCAGCCACTAGTGGCTGTCTCACTGACAACCGCTAGAGGAGCTTCTGCGATTCTCTCTGTAAAAATCACAGTGAGAAGACGCTAGACGTCCATAGGAAAGCATTGAGTAATGCTTTCCGATGGGCAGTTAGAATGCGTGTGCGGCTCGGACGTCGGCAGGGGGAGGAGGGGTCACCGGGGCCGAGGTTTTTAACCCTTCAGCCCAGCGGGAGGGGGGCCCTGAGGGTGGGGGGAACATAAGGACCCTGTAGTGCCAGGAAAAAGAGTTTGTTTTTCTGGCAATATAGTGGTCCTTTAAGATAGTCAGACATCAGAATATATTTTTGTTTTTATAATTAATCACGTGGTTTTTTTTTTACGCATACAAATGTGCTATTTTGTTCCCATTGACACTGTGATCTAGAGAGCATTAACCCCTTAAGGACACATGACGGAAATATTCCATCATGATTCCCTTTTATTCCAGAAGTTGTGTCCTTAAGGGGTTAAGCAAATGTAAGAGATGCAACCTACTTGTTTGTGAACTAATTACAATATTTTAATTGCTTTCCAGGATGGTAGTTTATTACATCAACTAACAGAAAAGTGTGTGCAAGCTGAGCGAAACTCCGAAAATGGAAACTCAGAACCTGTATTAAGACCATGCTCCGACACAGACTACCAGAAATGGTTTTTCCAGGAGCGGAGCTGAGATAAAAGGAGATAATCAGAAATTTTAACTAATCACTGGATGATTTTTTTTTTTTTTTTTAAATGATATATATATTATGGTGTTGCTGGCAAACATTTTCCTTTTTATTGGAATAAATGTTGGGATCATTAAATTTGTTTACTTTCATGCTCACAGTACCATTTAAATAGATCAGGAGGTTGAAAGCTTTAACCCCTTAAGGACCAAACTTCTGGAATAAAAGGGAATCATGACATGTCACACATGTCATGTGTCCTTAAGGGGTTAATAAGTCATGTTTGTGTTCATAACAAGCTTCTAGTTAATTTAGAAAAATATCTAAACTCATTTATATGGACCGGCTTCTAAGATTTTCTCCTTAGCCACTTTAACACAGAACGTCTTTGTTCTGTTCACAAGATAAACCTGTGTCCTTGGTGTTATGTGCCTTCTAACTTGATTGAGTGGAGGTGGGATTTTTAAAGTTATTGACCACAAACATCAGTAGGTATGCCATATTTAACAGTAGGTCATGAAATATCATTGTGGTTGGAATGATGGTCATTTTATTATTTGCTGCAGGAGTGTCAATACATTTTGATTTATTTGGGGGTACAAAAAGAGGTCTGAATCAAGTGAGGAACTTTTTGAACTTCAGGATATGAGAAACAATTGGCTTTCAATGTTAAAGCCCCTTGAGATAAGTGAGCAACCTGCAACGTCACAAGTTAACTGTAAATTGTTTCTTTTTATTCAAAAATAACCAAACCCTAAGAAACAAAATCCACTTCTGAAAACACCATATGATTGGGTAAATCAGTACCACAGTTTTAAGGCAAAGCTGTTTTTGTAGTTCGGTTCTATATGCTTTAAATTGTATTTACTCTTAGTTTGTTTATATACATATTTAAAAGAATATATGATCTAGAGTTGAATAAATATTCTTTATGAGAAAGCAAACATTTAAAGATCCTACTGAGGACCCAGGTGTAGAAGTTCTGAATCTGTTGCAGGTATTTGTGTCATGAACTACAGGGCTCTATCCTGTCCAATTTGTATTTCTAAATGACATATTAAACAGTGCAGCGTGTAACTTTATAAGCAGATTCATCATGATGAAGACTGATTCAAAGCATTTTTTTCTAACAATTTCAAGTACATCTTACTTTTTTCTCAAATTCCCATTGAAAGTGGTGATGCATATTTTGTCTATTTATATACACTGTCACCGCCAAGTATACATGTAAAGCATTTTTTTTTTTTTTTTAGAAAATACTATTTAAAATAATTATTTTGATAAAAAGTATCCTAAAATTGCCAGCATATTTTTTTTTAATATAATATTGCTCAAGAATGATCATAATCTAAAATACCAACACCCAATACATAGCTAAGAGTGTTTCTGATGAACACCAGGGTCTATGTACATGTAGAAGAAAAAGATTTAGACTGTAGAAAATGATGTATATAGCAAATGCTCACTATGTGGACAACATACCGATTACATTTTCCACTAAATCTATTGATTTAAATTGCATGCATTGAATTTATAGAAGTAGCACTTCCATCTCACTGGCTGGATGAGAATTGAAAAGAAACTGAGTGTTGGGAGGGGAAAAAAAATCCCCAGTACAAAAAGACAAATTCTATTTATTGTTGGAGCTAATGTGCATTAAATAAAACAAATATCTTTTAGGAAAAATATACATTTTATGTAAATACAAGTAATGCTACACTAAAAAAAACTATTTCGATGCCCCTCTTTTTTTTTTTTTTTTTAAATTTGTGCGATCTCATAGGTATCACACTGTGTGTATATGTACACACATTGTGGATTTTATATGTACATATTGCTGCATCTTTATCAGTTGCAAATGTATATATGATAAACTGCTAAAAAAGAAGCTGTAACACTGAACGATAAAGAGTGCTTTCATTGATGCGGAGTTCAAGCCAGATCTTGCACCAGGACCACTAATTGATCCGAGTTGAATAGTGCAAGGCTTAGGTACTAAATATAAGCATTATTATGGGAAAATATAATTGAGGGGTTCTGGAGACTACAAAATTCATTACAATACTGAAATTCAAACTATATCCAGAACTCAGAGATGATATATATATATATTTTTTTTTTTACTTTGTAGGGATATGGTTGCTTTACCCTTAGGGCCGACCTAAGGCATAAATGTCTTGGTCTATCCAAGATTGTTGGGGGTTGCTCTTGGTAGCAGCTGCCATTTGCAGCTTAGTTTTATAGTGGGAGAGGAGGTAGCGAGAGAGAATTGCATTGTCTCTGTCTCCTATAATTCACTCCCTCTCCTTTAACTGATATTTATACAAAATACATAATCGATACATTAATAAGCAACATGGATGGACCAAGTTCATGATATACCAGGAGAGAGTAACTCAATTTCTGTTTCCCCATACCCTCACCTCAGCATATCAGTAGTGGGAAAGGGACTGAATTAATTGGGGACAGTCTCTTCCCTGGATTTTTAATAATATGAGTTTACTCATACCTATATTTATTAAATAGGAGTTTAATCATGCCTATATTTAGCAAAATATGTATTTGCAAGGTGTAAAAAAAAAAAGGAAGAAATTCAAATTTAGAAATCCACACCTCCATGTTCGATCCCTGTCAATCACTGTTATAAACTCTGTGCTTTGCACCTGGCAGGCAGCGTAGAGAAAGCATATGGAGAATAGGAGGAATTAAACTATTTTCCCCCCTCCTCACTTGCAATGTTAGCCCTGGCTTTGCCTTGTTTGAACTGTATTAATATGTCTCTTGCTATTTCTTTAAATTTATCAGAAAACAGATCATCTCAGGAAAAAAAGTATACAAATTATAGGTGCTTCCATTGAAAATAGTGTAAATACAAAAGAAGTGACCGTTCACTTTTAGTTTTAATTTTGAAGCTGTCAGGAAGACAACCGCTAGAGGAGTGTTTAGCTCTGCAATGAAAACATCTACAAAAAACGGCAATGTTTTACATTTCTCGATCAAAACAGCAAGAGTGTAACCCCACTAATCTTTGAGAAGTTAAGACATATTATTTTCCACCCAGAGGTTAGGGGTAGACTGATGCACAATGTCTTCGCAGTACATGTTATAATACATTGTATGACCTCAAAGTATGGGATTTGTTCTCTAAAATAAATACATTTTAAAAATCTCTTTTCCACCGAAATTAGGTCCTAAACTTCCACGAAAATGTATGTATTGAATTCCTTTGTACAAAAAAAAAAAAGAAAAATCTCAATAAAAGATTTTAAAAAAATAAATAAAAAAAAATGTCTTTTGGGAATATGCATTACCTGAATTTTGTTTTAGACAGGGAACAATAGTTTGCACTAGTACACAGCACATTGCCAAGTATGAAAGTTTGTCATAAAAGAAGCTGATCTTTTTGTACTTAGCAGGTTTTGTCTTAATTTGTAAAAGAACAAATAAAAATAGCTAATCACATTCCTGAATTGATAACAAAAAATATTTTTTACAAAAATTAATCATAACATGTGCCTTAAATTTGTCCGCAGAGCTTTATACAGATTTTTGGATATAAATTGTGACATTTCTGATTACTATAAATCTTTTTGTATTTCTATATATCTTTTTGTATATAGCAATTATAAACTGAAAATATTGCGTCTGATTATTCTTGTCTGTTATAATATTTAATATGTGACAACATTTCAGTTAATATAATTAATGATTTGATTTATTTTTACTTATGGGATTGTTGCACTGAAAAAATTGTTTGCGAGAAAAATTTATAATGTGATTTTTGTGATGGTGTTTCTCTGTTCTACAGTTAACCTTTAATAAATGCGTCTGTTTTTAATTCAACAAGCAGTAACCCTTATTTTAGGCCATGCCTTATTCTAGGCCTTCCTTTGAGGGTGGTAACTCACTAAATGCAGGATCCATAGTAAACCGTAGAGAGAGCATTTATACTGTGTTAATGGGACAATATAGGCACCAAAATAACATTAGCTTATTGAAGCAGTTCTGGTGTATATATCCTTCACCCTGCAGCCCAACTGCTCAGTTGTCTGCCATTTAGGTAATGAATTACCATATTTTACTATTTCATGATGTAAAGTCATGATTTTATTAATGACACAGAGGCAAGTATAATGCTGCACTCTTTTAACATCGTTAAGAAATACCATCTGTTAAGTATATTATAAAGGAAAATTTGCTTCATACTTACCGTAATTTTCTTTTTCTGATAATTTATTCATGGCAGCATTTACTCATGGGGTTAGCTCCTCCCCTCACAGCACAAAGGACAGGAAATAGAACTTTGAAACTGGTATAAATAGATCCTCTCCCTTCCCATCAGGCAGTCTTTGTAACTAGCTTCACAACTCTTATAGTATATGGGTGGGAACGTAATGCTGCCACGAATGATCAGGAAAAGAAAATTACGGTAAGTATGAAGCAAATTTTCCTTTTTCCTGACCATTATTCATGGCAGCATTTACTCATGGGTAATACCCAAGCTGAATATATAGAGGGAGGGACAGAGTTCAAAAACAGCTAATAGCTATAAAACCATTGTTGGGCTGCATAAACCTTAGAAGACTTTAAAAAAAGCCAAACCAGTAATCAATAGGATATTGTTATAAAATCTGTTCAGACAAGGTAATTTACCCTAGCTTCTACAAGGTCTGCAACCTCCTGGCATTCAAGTGTCTGAAATATCCTGAAAAGGCCAGATAGGAATTAAGGCCATGATAGCATAAGCTGGAGAAGGAACAAGGCTAGACAAACTCTCGTAAGCAATAAGGAACCCATCTTGTGATGAATTAAAAAAAAATAATGTTCTTTTCTGATATAAATTTAAAACCAATGGATGACATCATCAATTCAGAACCTTGATAAAGGCATAACTTCCAGATATCATACTGGAACAAGCAGATAATATTGGATAAGAACAGTCACACCATACTATTACACATGGGGAGATTTACACTGAGAATCCTACTACTTTCTGGATGTATTTTACTTACCTGTAGATACAGGAAACAAATCAATATTTGCCTGTCAGAAAGAGGCAGAGCGCAATAATGACTATATATTGCAAAACCAGACTCACAACAATACCTCACACTGTGGATGAATTGATACAGCAATGATCAGTCACAGGAGAGGTATAAACCTAGGCAAAGGCAAGAGGAACCATACACAGATTAGTTGAAGACAAAAAGAAATATCGGTATGAACCGTAGAAATTGTGGCAACTATTAAATTATAAGTAGGCCAACCACGTCAGTACCTACATTCAAAGATAAACATATTGTAAATAGTACAGATTATGCTAAACCATATAGTCAAATTTATTAGACTGATGTGCAATAGGAGATATGGAATAGGCAGGATTCTGATGAGAAGGTGGTAACCAGAGGCACATTATACATTGTGGCAACAAACACATTAATAAGCAGGATAGTAGGAGATATTCTGTTATCCTTAGGAGAACAAACAATCGCATACTTACTCTTACCTTATCTTCAGATAGTGAAGAAGTACTATGGCAGAGCCTATGGTGATAATAATCAGTTTGTTTTATCTGCAGGATATCAACACCAATCCAAGCATACAATCCACAGGTATTACATCCATGCAATGTTAGGAGACCATAACTTATACCGCTCTAGGTACAGAGACCATGTAAAACAAATCAGTCAAATGTTTGTCCTCAACAAGACGCATTATATTATGCAGGATAAATCAACCACTTAAAGCCACACATTGGTTGCAAATTCCAGATATAAAAGACACCTAACAGAATCCCCATGGATATCAGAACCAAGGTCCAAATGGAACGACATGTTCAGGGATTTCCTTTATTGTTCTGGTAGCAGGTGAATTTTACCTGAGATAGTAAACCTTATAGAATGGTCTGGGGACTGGAAAGATCTTACAATGTCAATTAAAATACTTGCAATACACAGCATCAAAGTTACCTGGAGTATGTGCCTAAAATAATACCTTGTATTACAGAAAGGAATTATAATGTTGCCCTTCACAACAGGGGGATCTGTCCGAATTTTCTGATCATTAACTCCTTAAGAACCAAAAGCATGCCACCCCTGACATATACTAAACGGGATTGACAAACTTTCAGGTCCCCAAGGTATAAGAGAATACTGAATATAAAATTCAGTACATTCTCCAAATTATAAAGATTGTGCTTTAAGGAAATGTACTCAGTTCTAAAGAATGTTCAACCAATTCCAGAGAATGGAGCTAAAATTGAATAAAAAGTATAAACCAGACCAAGAGTAGTGAGTTTTCCAGAGTAGAAGCTTGCAGAAAATACAATGATACTAAAGTTATTACCAGGTGAAAGAAAAGGCCAATATGAACAGCTTTTAAATTCAGTAAAGTTAGATTTTAGAAAGAAAGGAAATATACCAGTGAAAACAGTCAGGTAATTGCTTCAGAGTTACCTATTATGGGATCAATAAATAGCCCAATGTGTGCTCCTGAAACCAGCATAAATCCTGTATAAATACATAGGTGTGCACACAAAAAAGCATTCATTCTGTTGAACATTACCATGCTTCCTTTTGGAAATTCAGGTCATCTCCTCTCCTGGAGAGGCACTCAGATAGGTTCAGTAACACCTGCAATCTATCTGAAGTGGTAAAATGTGTTAATTGCTTATCCTGAAACACCTGTGGGAGAAGGAATCTAATACAATGCCAAAAGCAGTATGTTTCCTTATCTACTTCATTTAAAAAACTGAAATAGAAATTTCACAGTAGGCAATAGTTACTGGAGAGAAAAAAATGGTTCGCAAGAGTATTCTGAAAACGGACAGCAGCTAAAATAGCCTGCCCTTCGGTGGGTCCCCACTCAGAACTCAAGCTGGTTTTAGCTCAACTTGTGCCATTACAGAGAGAACATATCTGAAGCATATCAGACTGGTCCCACCCATACGGGCAGTCCAGATCCGAAATGCCAGCAAGTTCTCTCTGCACGAGAGATACAGCAACCCCAGGCGATCGTTTCAGCCTTGTTAGGCATCGTCAGTGAGGCATAGCTGATATCTCTCTAGGCACCGTGAGCAAGGGGTCCATGTCTGGATTACCCTTTAAACTAATGGAGAGAAAAAAATGGGTCGCAAGAGTATTCTGAGAACGGACAGCAGCTAAAATAGCCTGCCCTTCGGTGGGTCCCCGCTCAGAACTCAAGCTGGTTTTAGCTCAACTTGTGCCATTACAGAGAGAACATATCAGACTGGTCCCACCCATACGGGCAGTCCAGATCCAAAATGCCAGCAAGTTCTCTCTGCACGAGAGATACAGCAACCCCAGACGATCGTTTCAGCCTTGTTAGGCATCGTCAGTGAGGCATAGCTGATATCTCTCTAGGCACCGTGAGCAAGGGGTCCACGTCTGGATTACCCTTTAGACTAATGGAGAGCAAACAATGGGTCGCAAGAGTATTCTGAGAGCGGACAGCAGCTAAAATAGCCTGCCCTTCGGTGGGTCCCCGCTCAGAACTCATGCTGGTTTTAGCTCAACTTGTGCCATTACAGAGAGAACATATCTGAAGCATATCAGACTGGTCCCACCCATACGGGCAGTCCAGATCCAAAATGCCAGCAAGTTCTCTCTGCACGAGAGATACAGCAACCCCAGACGATCGTTTCAGCCTTGTTAGGCATCGTCAGTGAGGCATAGCTGATATCTCTCTAGGCACCGTGAGCAACGGGTCCACGTCTGGATTACCCTTTAAACTAATGGAGAGAAAAAAATGGGTCGCAAGAGTATTCTGAGAACGGACAGCAGCTAAAATAGCCTGCCCTTCGGTGGGTCCCCACTCAGAACTCAAGGCAATAGTTACTTTCCCAGTACAACAGTGCATTTGTTTTTGCTAGAATGGGCTATATAACATTTCAGCGCAAAACCCAGATCATTTGTATTATTAAATCTACCAAGGCCGTGTATAAACCTGCATACAGAATATATGAATCACATACATTGTGGATGTTTCTAACAGCACCTTATGCACAGATATATCAGTTACATATACTGAGTCTGTTCAAACAGTAATCATACATAGCCTGCATCTGCTATAGGGTGGCACTATGCTTGTACACATATTAAGTTTACATGAGGGAGATACATTGAGGCTGTGTTTTAACAGGACTTCATTCACATATTATACCACTCATATATACTGAGGTTGTGACTAACCAGTATTACCAGTATAGAACCAGTATTAGAATAGACTCATAGAGGATGTGTCTAATATTATTCACCTGCATTGTGTTTCCACAAATACATCAAGCATATAGTTAACAGATACACTGAAGCAATGTCTCCACCCCAACTTACATATAGAGCATGTAGAGGACATATACTGAGGCTGTGTTTTCACAGTATATAAAGAACACACATACTGAACCAGAATCTTCAGATCAATTCATACATAGAGACTATAGTGGATACTTATACTGAGGCGGTGTCCTCACAGTAACTCATACATA